GGTCAAGTAATACTTATTCAATTTTATCAAAAAAATTATTAAAACGTTTACATTGTTGATTATTTGGGATAAAAATTAAACTCTTTATCTATAATATACATGTAATTGTGTTCATATACATGCTTATCACCTTATTGTGATGCAATCAATTTCATTTTATTTCAATACTTTTTCCTGTATACATGTGTCATAAAATCACATATATTTTAAAAGTGTTCGCAGTAAATTATAAACATAAGTTGTCAGTATACAGTATGTCTGATTTTATCAGATGTGTCAATCGTGACTGAATTGCTAATAGCTGAGAAATGCATGAACTATTAATGAGCCACGTCATGACAAAACCAACATAACGGGTTTGCGACCAGCATGGATCCAGACCAGCCTGCGTATCCGCACAGTCTGATCAGGATCCATGCTGTTCGCTTGCCAACTCTATTTTAAGTAGAGAAACTGATAGCGAACAGCATGGATCCTGATCAGGCTGCGCGGATGTGCAGGCTGGTCTGGATCCATGCTGGTTGCAAACCCATTATGTTGGTTTTGTCGTGACACGGCTCATTTGTTGTTTAATTGGATCTATTTTCATGGTCTTCACTATTTTATGTTATGACTAAAACAGTTGTTTATCTTGAATCAATTTAATCAGTATATACATGTACATTAACAGCTTTATATATTCCTCTATGATGTAGTAATTCTGCTGTAGAATAAGACTGTGTTTATTGATTATTCTTAATTTTTGCTCTTTAAAAATGAAAATGTAAATATTTTGTTAATAATTCATTATACAATGTACTTCTAAAAATGTTTTGCAACTCTTCTGTGATTCTTAATAAAAAAGAAGAAAAAAAGAGTTTTAACATATTTTTCTTGAACATATTATACATATGTATATGTATATTATATGTCAACTGGTTACAGGCATTATACAAGAAAGTAAAGCGTGTTAACAATTTATAATTAAATTCAATACATGGACAACCCATTAAATAAGCATTAATTTAGTAAAGAAAAGTGCAAAGTTTATATTAAAACACGCACTTTGATCTGATTTTCTATAATACTAGTTTTAATATATATCAGCTTACAAATAAAATCTATATTGTTGTTCTCTATGATGTATAATTATTTTTTCGTGAAAACATCACAGTGACCTTTTTCTTTTATATGTTTACATATTTGATTTGCTCATGTGTTTTATATTATACAAATTGAGTGTTATTGTAAATAAATAAAAAAAATAAAAGGTTTTCTGACACTAAGCTATGATCTAAGCAATGATTTTTCATAGCTTAAAGACATCGATTTCTTTAAAGATATTTTAGATATGTTATGCAAATTGCTATATAATTATTGCAGTCCAAACAGTTAGGAAAACCTGAACCCCCTTAAAGTGCTTTTTTACTGTTTAGGATGTAAAACAATTATCTCTCTTAACTAGGCTAAGATTTTAACAAGGATCAATTTAATCATTTATTAAACAGATAATACTAGTTTTACAAATAAAGGGTTTTGTATCACTTTGTACATATACCTTAAAGGAGTATAAAAATACAAATTATCTGACAGTGTATAGAGTAAATATCATGCATTTTTTTCAGTAATTTACTAAAACATGTAAGAACTTGAACCTTAATAAAAAAAATCTTAACTTACCCTGTTGATCTCTGTACATGTATATGAAAAACATGCATAATAACATGTATTAACAATCTATATATTTTATACAATATTTGATAATAAAGGACATAGTAATAAATTAGTAATAGAAATACTGCTGTTTGTTTCTATACTTTTATACGTTTTAACAGATACAGGACACATGTATTACAGATTTTGGAAACATTGAAATCCCTCAAAGGCAGTGAAAGCAAAAATAATTGCACACATGGTTTGCTGTAGGAGTCTGTTAATAAAATACAGTGGCGAATGCCTCCAAGAAACAGGTTATACGTTATTCAGTATTCTACACTAAATGTAATGTAATCATACGATAATCCTGAAATGACATAGAAAATATAACTGTATTGAGATGAAATTATTGTATCTAGTACTTAACCGGTCATTTTCAAACATGTTGCAAATGGCCAAATTCTATATTGTATGATACAAGGTTTTTTTTAGTTTTTTAATTAAATATATTTTCATACAACCATAAATTCTGTTGTATTTCAAAAGCTAATTCATTTTAAACATTTTTTAAATAGGGGAAAATAATAAAAGCAATATACTGGTTTCTCCAAATTTCTGTAAATTTTTAATGAAAACTTAAAATCTATTGTAACGAGTAAAAATTCTTATTAAGTGTACATATCAAATGATTGCCTAACACATTTACTTTAACAAAACAAACCTATATGGCCTTATTTGTAAAAATAAACAAATATTTCTCTTACTCCAAAAGCATGATTTATTTTACTTATCTAGAGGCTGTTTTAATGTCCTGATTTCAAATTCATACCACTGTCAGAGCACATACAAGAAATATATTCTGTAGTATAAATCATATGCCTCCACACAAATGTTTAAGACGTCTACACAATCTGAACAAGTGCAACAAAATCTGACACTTGTTTAGACAAGAGGGCCATGATGACCCTGAGGTCGCTCACCTGTATATAGCCCCCCCCCCCCAAACGTTGCAGGGCCAATTTAACCCTAGGGCTTTTATTTGCACAAACTTGGTAGACACCCATAAGAAGATGTTTCATGCTAAACATCTAAGCTCTAGCTCATTGGGCTTTTTAAAAGAAGATTTTTTTAAAGTTTTTACTATACACATATAGTTAAAAACAATGATACCCCTGGGGCGGGGCCAGTTTTGACCCAAGGGCTTTTATTTGAACAAACTTTGTAGACACTTACTAGAAGATGTTTCCTGCTTAATATCTAAACTCTAGCTATTTGGGTTTTTTCAAAGAAGATTTTAAGTTTTTGCTATACACATATAAAGAAAATCAATGACCCCCGGGGCGGTGCCAATTTTGACCCCAGCGCTTTTATTTGAACAAACTTGGTAGACACCTATTAGAACATGTTTGATGGTAAATATCTTAGCCATAGCTCTTTGAGTTCTCTAAAAGAAGATTTTTTAAGTTTTTACTATGTGCATATAGGGAAAATCAATGACCCCCCGGGGCAGGGCCAATTTTGATCCCAGGGCTTTTATTTGAACAAACTTGGTAGACACTTATTAGAACATGTCATGCTAAATATCTTAGCTCTAACTCTTTTGGTTCTTTAAAAGAAGATTTTTTAAGTTTTTACTATATGCATATAGGTAAAATCAATGACCCCCTGGGGCGGGGCCAATTTTGACCCCAGGGCTTTTATTTGAACAAACTTGGTAGACACCTATTAGAACATGTTTGATGCTCAATATCTTAGCCATAGCTCTTTGAATTCTTTAAAAGAAGATTTTTTAAGTTTTTACTATATGCATATAGGGAAAATCAATGACCCCCCCCCCCCGGGGCGGGGCCAATTTTGACCCCAGGGCTTTTATTTGAACAAACTTGGTAGACACCCATTAGAACATGTTTCATGCTAAATATCTTAGCTCTAGCTCTTTGGGTTCTTTAAAAGAAGATTTTTTAAGTTTTTACTATATGCATATAGGGAAAACCAATGACCCCCTGGGGCGGGGCCAATTTTGACCCCAGGGCTTTTATTTGAACACACTTGGTAGACACTCACTAGAAGATGTTTCATGCCAAATATCTAAGCTCTAGCTCTTATGGTTTTTTAAAAGAAGATATTTAAAGTTTTTTCTTTCGGTTGCCATGGCAACCAGAGTTCTGCATGGAATTAAATTCTTTGAACAATTTTTAAAGGTGACCACCAAAGGAACATTCCTGTGAAGTTTGGATGAAATTGGCTCAGTGGTTTATGAGGAGATGTCATTTAACATAAAAGTTTACGGACGGACGACGGACGGACGACGGACGGACGCAGGACGAAAAGCGATCACAAAAGCTCACCCTGTCACTTTGTGACAAGTGAGCTAAAAAGTGAGAAGGGAGATCATTCAAACAGATTTCAATCTGTATCATCAAGATGCTTTAACAAACATCTACACAATTACAATATCATCTGGATGCTTGGGACATAATCTGTTCTATTTCATCAGGATGCTTTGGACAGGATTTCGTAAGAACAACAGGTTTTGTCTCAGTAATCAAAATATTGTCCTCAATTCTTATACCAATGCCACGGTATTCTGGAGGTACAGTTTCATCATCAGCTTTGATATATATCCCTGGAAAATAAATCACAATGAAATGTTACAAATATATGAAATAATCGTTAATTTTGTTCAGTTAATAATTTGAGCAGTTACGTGAAGGAATACCCAAAAAAGTCTATAAGGATCTTACACCAGCTGCCGGTACAGACCGGAATTTCTAGCTTGAGGGTAAGTAACTGTTTAGGGTGGTAACGAGGCTTTGCAGAGTTTCTGCTAAACAGTTATCCGAGAGCTAAATATTCCGGTCTGTTACAACAGCCAGTGTTTGATCCTTTTTCTTGCAAATTAAATATTAATCATATTTCGGAAAGAAATTACGAAAACTAAATATATATTTTCATTTAGCACTTTTTTCTTATAGCAGTGTATGAAATTACAACTTCCATCATAACGGCAAAGTGACATCATTCTAAGAAAGTAATTCATTCAAAAAAAGGCTTGCGGGAATAACGTCAAGAAATATTTTGCTTTAATCAAAGAAATAATAAGGACTTATAATGAGTGTGGAATGAGTGTTAAAATATCCTGTAACTCAATTTTTTATGTTTTTTTATCATAAATATAATGCTTAAATGAAGATTTATCAATATTATAAATTCCAAAAAGTATAATTTGTAAAGATATTAACGAATTTACATTTTCATGTTAATAAAGGGAGGTAAGTAGAAATTTATTTTCCATAAAGTTTAAGTCAAGATTTAATAAGAAATGAATGCATATATTTTAATGATTACCTATTGGAAAAAAAATATTTGCAGTACATATTTTACATATTCTTGGATGTTTGAAAATTGATTTAGAAGCATAATTATATACATATATAAAATTTCACTAAAGTATAGTAACCATACAGAATCTTTAAAGTTTTAATCACTTATAAATGGATTTTTCATGACACCATTAAGTAATTTTAAAGAAAGTGAGCAACTTTAACTACTTAGTTCATGGTTAAATATATATGAGCCATGTCATGACAAATGACATAGTGCGTTTGCAACCAGCATGGATCCAGACCAGCCTGCACATCTGCGCAGTCTGATCAGGATCCATGCTGTTGGCTTACAAACTCTATTACAAGTGGCGGAACTGATAGGGAATAGCATGGATCCTGACCAGACTGCACGGATGGGCAGGCTGGTCTGGATCCATGCTGGTCGCAAACCCACTATGTTGGTTTTGTCATGACGCGGCTCATATCTCTAATCTATTCACTGACCTGGTTCTATTGTGATAATCATGTTAGGCTGAAGTTTTATTGTTTTACTGACTAGACTTGTATCATGTACATCCATTCCTAGATAATGTCCTACATGATGTGGACAAAACTTCTGTACTGCCTGAAAAAATAAAACAAAAGATGAACAATGAAAGGTAAATCACTATGAAATACTTCATAACAAAAACAACACTGTTAAATACCTTTTTATGAAATCATAAAACCTCGTTATGAATGTTACTATTAGTTTATATAATCAGTTCAATAAAAACAAACGCTTTTCTTAAGCTTTCGACGTTTAGTCTTCTTCAGAAAAAAATGACGTTTATAAAATAACAAATGACAAATGACGCAACGTCCGTTTAACTATACGCTAAACAGAACGTGACGTTAACGCGGGAATAAAAACTTTGTCCAATAAATACAGAATCTTTCATGAATATAAATACAGCAATATACAATAAATTACACATATAATATGGATCTGCACATGTGATACAAAAATTCTCATAATTAATAATAATAAAAAACCTTGATATGAGAAAAAACATACTACATGTATATGTATACCGGCTCAATAATGACAAAGTTATATATTGTACAAAACTTTTGCATTCATACCATTAGGAGATAATGTGTTAAGCTTATGAATCCAGTATGATTCTTGTAATAAGCGTTCCATATCATCGGTGACAATCTCTATAGGCATAAATTTAAAATACTTAATACAATGATTGGTTTCATTAAAGTGTGTAGCGACATTGGTCGAAAATAACGGATTAAAATAACTATTAGTTTATGTAGTGTTGAAATTACAGTGAAATAAGTGTAAATGTTGGGAAAACAGGTAAAAAGCAAAATAACTTTGCGTTTTTTTATAAATGTGTTCAATTTTATACTTGACTATGCAAAAAAAAAATTCAATAATCCACCTGACCCACAGATATTTCTATAAATATTGTTTTGAATGCATTGGCAACATTCAATTTTTAAGAAAAGTGTAGTAATTACCCAAGATATTTTTGTGTGGGTATTACACAAACTATAAATATATATACCCGTAATAACTTTGATCTGTCATCCACCACACTTCTAGGTATTAACTTCAAAAGCACAAGCTGTAAGGCTATCTCATTTACCATCGCCTGGTAGATTTCTGACAAGCTGAATTCCTGTGTACACATCGATATACAAACTTGCTGGATCGCTAATACTGATAAATATAATTTCCTCTGAGCTGGGGTAAATTTTCCTAAAGAGAAAAAGATAAATGGCACATGCTATAGAAATGTATAATCCAGTAACAAAATTGCTATCCTAGAAAGCAACTGAGCCGCTATTGGATGTATCTAGTACCAACAGACTCATTTATATACATGTATTGTGAATAACAAGACACATCGCTCCTCAAACCTGCATGCTTGTCAATGTACAATGGCTGTATGTGCAAAAGTGTAAAAATTATTTTTAGCATCAATTACCCTGATCTTCATCCAAGTGATATCTTACCCAAAGTTTAGAGGACCACAGTTACAAGGTATGTATCAACTATATTATATGAAAGACATCAGTCAATGAATGAAGGCTGTATGAGCAAAAGTATATAGATCTATTTTTAGCGCCTGTTACCTTAACCCAGACTTAAGCAACTCCTAACTCTACCCTAAGTTAGAAGACCACTCAAGGTATGTACCTACAAAATATGAATAAATGATGAATGCCTAAGCAAAATTGACAAAATATATATTTATCAAATAAAGTTCTAGTGATATCACTTGTATATTTACTGGAGACAAGTCAAGTTCTATTAATATTACTTGTATAATTACCAGAAACAGGCCAAGTTCTAGTAATATCACTTGTATATTTTCCAAAGACAGGCTAAGTTCTAGTGATATCACTTGTATATTTTCCAAAGACAGGCTAAGTTCTAGTGATATCACTTGTATAATTACCAGAGACAGGCCAAGTTCTAGTAATATCACTTGTATATTTTCCAAAGACAGGCTAAGTTCTAGTGATATCACTTGTATATTTTCCAAAGACAGGCTAAGTTCTAGTGATATCACTTGTATATTTTCCAAAGACAGGCTAAGTTCTAGTGATATCACTTGTATATTTTCCAAAGACAGGCCAAGTTCTAGTAATATCACTTGTATATTTTCCAAAGACAGGCTAAGTTCTAGTGATATCACTTGTATATTTTCCAAAGACAGGCTAAGTTCTAGTGATATCACTTGTATATTTACCGGAGACAGGGCAAGTTCTATTGATTACACTTGTACATTTACCTGAGATAGGGCAAGTTCTATTAATATTACTTGTATAATTACCAAAGACAGGCCAAGTTCTAGTGATATCACTTGTATATTTACCGGAGACAGGGCAAGTTCTATTGATTACACTTGTACATTTACCTGAGATAGGGCAAGTTCTATTAATATTACTTGTATAATTACCTGAGACAGGCCAAGTTCTAGTGATATCACTTGTATATTTACCTGAGACAGGGCAAATTCTAATGATATCTAATGTATATTTACCAAAGACAGGCCAAGTTATATTGATATCACCTGTATATTTACCTGAGACAGGCCAATTTCTAGTGATATCACTTGTATATTTACCGGAGACAGGCCAAGTTCTATTGATTACACTTGTACATTTACCTGAGATAGGGCAAGTTCTATTAATATTACTTGTATAATTACCAAAGACAGGCCAAGTTCTAGTGATATCACTTGTATAATTACCAGAGACAGGCCAAGTTCTATTGATTACACTTGTACATTTACCTGAGATAGGGCAAGTTCTATTAATATTACTTGTATAATTACCTGAGACAGGCCAAGTTCTAGTGATATCACTTGTATAATTACCAGAGACAGGCCAAGTTCTAGTGATAACACTTGTATATTTACCGGAGAAAAGGCAAGTTCTATTAATATTACTTGTATAATTACCTGAGACAGGCCAAGTTCTAGTGATATCACTTGTATAGCCATGATATTCACAACCAGCATCCATAAGCACCATCTCTCCATCATGTACAATTTGATTATTGTTGATATAATGTATAATGTTTGCTCTGTTTCCACCTATGTAATAGATCAAAGACACAAAATACATTTAAATGTTTGTTTAGCAAATTGCCTCTCTCCATTGGTCCTTAGTTTATATCTCTAAAACTTTAAATCTATAAAATATCTCTAGGAACTCTACAAGCATGTTTGACATTGTATGAGACCACTATAAACTGAATGGAAATGGTTTTCACCATAAAGTTGACTTTTGACTTATAAAGCCCAAAAAGGTTAAGATTTTTTACTCAGTGATGGCACTAATCTTATAATCTGATTTTTGAAGACACTGTGTTGGATGGTGTTCCAGTAACTGAGTTAGCATTTTTTTAGTTATTCAAGGTCACTTAAGACTTCAACTTTAACTTAGTCTTATACTGCATATAGATGACTTTTCACCTATCAAGCCCAAAAAGGTTAAGAGTCTTTACTCAGTGATGGCACTAATCTGATAATCTGATTTTTTGAAGACTCTATGTTGGATGGTGTTCCAGTAACTGAGTTAGCATTCTTTTAGTTATTCAAGGTCACTTGAGACTTCAACTTTAACTTAGTCTTACACTGAATATAGGCAATCATCCTAGGAAGTTTGAAGGCTCTATGTAGAAACAAACTGGTCTAAAGTTCCATCAACACACAAACAATACTTATACTCTCTTCTTACAAAGTAGGTATAAAAAATGCAACAAAAAGCTTGAAAGCAGGGGTTTTAGACAACATAAAATATCAAACCAAATATCTATTTTGTATTAAATTTAATATTCATTACTCTACCTGCAATAACTGGAGGGTATGCTAAAATCTCAGCATCTCTTATTCGACATTCATAATCCATCTTAGCATACAAATGTGACTCTTTGATCTAAAAAACAATATAATTACAGGTAAACATATTATTATGTTTTCTATATTATATAATCTCTGGTATTATTCTAAATGTTTTATATGCATAATTGTTTTATGTCATGACAATATATGAGTCATATTTCTTCACAGGGTTACTGGTGAAGACATCAGAGGGCCTTTTGCACATTACATGTATTTCAAGCCATAAGCTAGAGGGATAGCTTCCATATATGAAAGATTTAGTCCTTTTGTCAAGATTTTAAACTACATGTATAGCAATAGTTAAAGAAAATTTGCATTAAGGGACTTTAACATCTCTGTTTTATCAGTAAAACTTTCCTTTTTTACTATCAATGATTTTATTTTTTGAAAACAAGAGCTGTCGGTAGGACAGCAACGCTCGACTATTCTTTGTGCTTGATAGTAAAAGAGCCTTGATAATGTAAAATTTTCTAAGTTAACAAAAGGGCCAAATTTTCCTTTAAATCCATGTTACTGTTATAGGCCTTGAAGAGAATCCTATTATGCTCTAAAAAGAGTATAAAATTTCAACTTGTTTCAAAGCCAGATGTCAATAGTATATGAAAATATCTGAGGTGGTATGCAAACATTAACATAATTCTAAGTCAGAAAAGGGGTACAATTCTGCCAAAATGCTTGATTCAGTGATCCCCTGCTGTCTACTGTGTGTGCGAAGTTTCAAAGCCATATGTCCATTTGAGGTATTACAAAAACTTTAACGTGAATTCTAAGTCGAAAAAGGGGCATAATTCTGTCAAAATGCTTGATACAGTCTAAGTCGAAAAAGGGGCATAATTCTGTCAAAATTCTTGATACAGTTATCGCCTACTGTGTACAGATTTGGGTCATGATGGTGAACAAGTGTGCAAAGTTTCAAAGCCATATGTCAATGTACTTTGAAAATATTTGAACTATTACAAAAACTTTAACATAAGTGGTTACGCCGACGCAGACGCCGACGCTCGGGTGACTACAATAGCTCTACTTATTCTTATCGAATAGTTGAGCTAAAAAGTAAAAATATCAAACCTAAATTAAGTTTAAAATACTAACATCTGGTCTTGAAAATTTCATGACATCAACAAATGCTTGGGAAGCAACTTCAGTTGTATGTTTCATAAGTTGTACCTCTGCTGGAGACTTTACTACCCTTAGGTCTTGAATATGACCAGTCGGTTTTACAATTGCCATTTTCCCCTCTTGTTTCAGAAAATCCTGTATCACATTCTCATGAGAGTGTTTAAGAACTGGCTGATTCAAATCATACCAAACTATATAATCTTTGTAGGATTTACAATAGTTATACAAGTAAGATTCTAACTCATCCGTATTATAAGCTTCAGCGACCCCTGTTAATTCTAGTGCACCTTTATCCCCTGATCTTGGACCATCCCATAATTCCTTGTGAGGATCTCTCCTTGGTACAAAGAGCACAGACTTGTACCCCTCACTTGTTGTATGAATAACTAAGGCACTATCAGGCTCCTGGAATCCAGACAAGTAAAGAAATTCTGTATTTTGTCTAAAACGGTAAGGGATATCATATGTCATGTAAACTGTTGAAGCAGACGGCAAAATAACTATGTGATTTTCTGACTTATTTCCGGAAGCATGCACTATCTTATTCACCAAACATGTTTTTGTAGAATCATACTCTTCTTTGTTTATCCCTGGAGTGACCTCCCCTTGACTAACCAGATGGGGATGTGTTTGTGCTGATGGCTGCCCAAAATGTCTTTTCTGCATAAAACTTTTGTTAGAACTTAACAAGTCTCTATACGGCCCTGAATTGAAAAAGAAAGATACAATATTAAATTAATCCATGAAAGTTTGGTTTTGAATACCTGCATTTCTTTTCTTTTAATTCAGACAGATGTTGACAAATTCATTTATCTTGAGTTATTTTATAAATAAATATTAAGGAAGAATACAAAGAAACCACACATCATTAATTAATACGTAACAGGGACACAATCTGTGATTCTTTATTATTTGTCATTTAGAGAGTTGTTTCCCCTGGACCAGTGTTCTTCTATGGGTGTCAGTGCCAGTTTGATCATGTGACTATTATTGTGCTTTCAGTTCAGGGTTTTGATGAAGAGACATGTACATTGTTTTCACGTTTTTAATTTTTTGTGATTTATGGAATATTATTATTATTATTAATAATTAACCCCAGCAAACACCTGACGTCGTTTCAACGTTGGATCTAAGTTGGATTTATGTCACGACGTCAAAATCCTTACAATTTACGACGTTGTATCAACGTGTTTGAATTACGTCGATACGACGTCGGATTTCAGTGTAATCCAACATAGTAGTCTTGATTGAGTTATTTCCCTTTGTTATGATTTATAAACCCGATAGGTGGCTCTAATTTCAGGTCAATATAATCATTCGAATTTTGTTATTCTTCTTTTTTCACATCCATTGCATTTTAAAAAAAAATGTTGTTATACTAGACCATAAAAAGGAACAATATTAGTATTTCAATTTAATAAATTGAAAAAAATAATGGAAACTTGATGAATTTCAAAACGACAATAATTTGTTTTCAAATTCAAACAAAGACAAAGGAAGGACATTATGCAGGTCATAGAAGACAACTCGCATAGTGAAAAGTAAGTGATATTTTTGATGGCAGATTAGTATTAAACTTACTGCATGCATAGTATAATAACTGAAAAATTATTAGTTACATTAGGAATATAATTATATTTTCATGATATTGAAGTATCTCAGTTCTAAACCAGTTAATTAATGTAGTCTGATTCGCCCTCATTTAACTCGTACTTTGGGATTCAATTGATATATAAATTGTATGAAATTCTGTCAAACTCTTTGTTTTATTTGTGTTGTCATTTTAAGCCAAGATCCCTACATGACCTTAATCTTTCTAATTCGATTTATCAGATTAATAGACTAGATAAGAATAGGTATTTCACCACAACGTATTTGTTAACAAAGGAACACCTGTCAATATTTGAGATTTAATCTATTGTTATTCAAATAAATCTACATGTAAAAGGTCAGAGTAGGGATCTATCAAAACATGAATATACTGTCAAAGTAAATTTATAACTTTTTGTCAATAATCATTTGTTTTTGTTTTTTTTATAGACTGACACTTAATTTTTATGTGATGACAATTAGCTGCATGAAAAACAGTCGGCAGAAAACACCATTTGGACATAAAAGAATGATAAGTGCATCAAATATAGGTAATATGGATTTTGATTTTGTTATTTACTGTAATTTCTGTTTTGTCATAACTGTTAATCAAAAGTAAAATAATTACGTGAAATGTCTTATGATTGAATTTGCACCTTTACATGTTACTGTTTTGCAAATTACATATATTTGAAGTTACAGTTTTTGAGTATTCTACATCATCAATCGACATCTGATTTTAATTTATGATATGCTAGGGTAATCTATTGGTAATACTATTTCTATTTAATATAATTTGATTGACCATTTTGGTTGTTATGTACACCTATTTATTTCTGTTTCATTTTTGCAGTTTCAAGGAAAAAAACAAATTGAACCTCAAAACAAGTTTGACACAGTGTCTTCGTAGATGAAAATAATCAGGATCCAGTGGTGGACGTTTAGTATACCAGAATTATTCACATGGAGGAGTATATCTCCAAATTTAATACTTTTAAGTTAGTTTTGAAAGAATAAAGATAAAAAATTACTTACTTTCTTTAAATGTGAATATTTATTTATTGTTTTGTGTGTTACACTTAATTTTGACAGAAAGGAATATTTTCCCTCACTTATCCGATTTGTTACCGATGAAATCAACTGCAAAAGAAAACTTTATTTTCCATGATTTCCATTTTCTATGAGTAATTTAAAAGAAAACCTTTTTAAGCATGTTGTAAACATGAATACTTTAATTGACATATATTGTAATAGTTAATGTATACTGTAGACCTTTAAATGAAAATGATTTGTTGACTGTTGTCTGTTATAATTTTGGATTATAATTTGTTGACTGTTGTCTGTTATAATTTTGGATTACAAAATGTGTATTATTGTATTGACTGAAAGAGGTCTGATAAATGTTGAACTTCAATTTTGAAAAGGCATGTAGCTCTTATTTCTTATTAATTTTAATAGTTTATATACAATTTATAAATATCAAACTTTATTTTATTATCACTATAAATGATTAAAAGTGAGTCATTTTTTGTGATGTTATACAAATGTGTTGGAAATATATATTTACTGTATATTAAGTGTTACATGAATAGATAAATCAGAAACTGTGTTATCCATTTATTTTAATTGTTTTTATGATCACTTTCTTAAAATAATAACATCACTTTTCGAGTATAAAAAGTTTTGTATTTTCTCTTTATTTGGGAATTATTTAATGAAAACGGGTCAGATTTATGTTGGGAATTGGTTGGAATTACTTTGGAACCTAGTTGGTATTACGTAAGTAACTGGTTGGAATCATGTTGGAAACTGGTTGGATTCACGTTGGGAATAGGTTGGAAAGTAGTTGTATATACGTTGAATAGAGGTTGGATTTATGTCATTTTATGACGTTGGATTGACGTCAGACTCTGACGTCTAAAAAACTTTCATATACAACTTAATTCCAACGTCTATCCAACGTCGGACTCTAACGTCTGAGCAACGTTGAAACAACGTCATGTGTTTGCTGGGACAGCACACTGGAGAGACAGATCAGTGTATTGCATTTGTTGTGTTTGATTTAAACACTTGGTTCATAAAGGTATTGTACTAGGCCCCTATTGCACTTTTGACATCCAAATTTTAAATGACATTAAATATTACTGTTAAATGTTACTGTTATTGTTGATAAAAAATTCTAACACTCACGTGATTTTGCCACTATAGACAAAGAAGGAAAAAAACTGGTGTTAAAACTGCCAATAAACACCGGTTAGGGACTACTTGTATATGCGCTGTTATGTTTTCACCCTCGATTGTATAGTTTACAAAGCATTTTAAAGCAACAATAAAAAGCATTTTTATTTATATTTTCAGTTCGTGTAATGTTTTCTTTTCATACAATACCGAAATAATATCTCACATACACTAACGCCACATATTAGATCCATATCAGTTAATAAATATTTTGACGAAACGGCGCCAATCCGTAAGCAGCGTAATGACGTCATCCTAAGTAAACAACTCATTCATAAACAAGCTGACGTTATTTCATACATACAAGAATGATAAATGGGGCACTGATGTAAACACAATACGACGTAAGTTTTTAGTGTTGAAAACTTGATAAAATAACGTGTTTTTCTTATTATTTCTTTTGTTTGATAATTTCTAAATCTTCGCAACAGTAGGGTGCGAAAATCGAACAGCGTTATATACGAAAATCGGCACCGGAAGTTATTTCCGCTTGAAAAATAACATTCGTGATTTTCCTTATTTTATCGTGTTAGAATCGAAATAACATCGGCCTGAGAGGTGTATATCGGCTATTTAACACCGGTTTTGTCGTTTTGATGCGACAAAATTAACCACTCAGGCCTACGGCCTTCGTGGTCAATTCCTACGCATCAAAACTCCAAACCGGTGTTAAATAGCCGATATACACCTCTCAGGCCGATGTTATTTCTTAAACAACTGATTGATCAACGACCAATAAACAAAGAACAAAAACTAATTCATGCATTTTCAGGGCCATTCAGGTTTGATGGTTGTCTGGTTCTGGTGGTCACCAACCAGTAGAAGTTTGTGTTATGGGTTAGCGTTGGAAGGCAAAGGGTTATTTTGCTGTCTATTTCTAAAATACTCCGCCAAACTTTTTATATATAAAGCAGAGAAGAACTTTGTAAGATTTCATATCTTTCATTCTATTCCATTTCATTTCACCAATGTAGATTTTGAATGCATGTATATTAATTATGTATGCATACTGTGTATGATTATGACTAAAATATGTCTAAATTATGAAAAGATTTATGGATTGGAGAAAATTTTCATTATTTGCCACTTGACATTCCTATTTTTATATAATAATAACATCATTATTCACGATAGATATTGGAGGAATGAAGTACCATATCCTGTCCTGGTTGCTTTCGTAATAAATTTCGTACAGAATCTCACTATAAATTTATTCATTTTTTAAAAGCTAATGGGCGCCGCCATATTTGTTACTTGCAACATCAAACACAAATGAATTAACTAGCTCTATTTAATATTTTAGAAAAGTACGATCAAATTAATGCTACATGAAGTACACAAAAATATCCATAATTCAAATATTGAGAAAATTTAACGTAAATATGACAGCTGTGCATATATTTTTTCTTATTGTTTAAGCGACATTAACAACAGTTTGCTCGAAATTTCTTTTAACAAACGTGGTCAAAAACAGGTAATTTACACGGTTCTGAAGGGTTTAATCTAAGTATTTTATTGTATTTACCGTGTTAGTTCTATGTTATATGATATGCAAACCATAAATATTGGTGACACCCATTTTTTCTCTCCCTATCTTTAAATGAAATTTTATTTTAGATGAATAGGATTCGGATACTTGCCCTTTGTCAAAGTGTGGTCCATGTATCTGGCTCAAATAAAATAATAGCCAATATTTTTAACTTAAAAAAATAATAGCCAAAAGTTCAACGGACTATTCACGATTTAGCGATTATATATAACAACATAAGCAGTTGATTAAATAAACATTACATATAAAACTTTTTCAGTTTTATAAGGATTCTCAAATAAACTGATACATTTGTGTATATTGATAACTATACCTTTTTTACATAGAACCACAACTTTTAACTGTTATTCATAGAACAGAATAAAAATGTTATATAGTATAATTACAGACTATAACAATAATATTAAAGATTCATTATAACTTTACATTATTAAATGCTGTTATCAGACAATATTTTTTGTTTGTTCTAATCAAATTTTTCAGCTATAACCACTGTCAATTTCCACATTCCACACAGAACTGGAGTAGCCAGTATATACATG